GTGCGCAACCGGCGCTCACGCACTACTGGTTTGTCTTGCTCTTTGGGCTTATTGAACTTGGATGAGGTCGTCGCGTATGGGTATCTTGGTGGCATAGTCAGCCGTTGGTAACATGCAGTGATCGGTGCAGCGGGGCGGAACTAACAGATGATGAGGGGTTTTAGGGCACATCGACTGCAGCAAACTAACAGGTGAAGGTCAATCAGGTGAAGGTCATGCAGCAAACTAACAGGTGAAGAATGGAGTCGGGCGTAATAGCAGTTAGCGTAATAGTTGACGCGGCCAAAGCCACGAAGCGTATACGGAGGGAGATATTGCGACAATCCAAGCGCTGATGCTGGTTTGTTTCGTACTCGACGGATCTGGCTCGGTTGTCAGCTTGCTCACTGCCTTGATTTTTTCTCCAAGATTTTTCATCTCAGTCGAAAACTATGTTTCGAATGAATTTCAGTCGGCGTTATGAATCGGTTGTGAGGGGTTGTAGTGACGTGAAATATGGTGGGCATGATAAATGGGCAGTACTGAGCTGTGTGTAGTCCGTATTGGGTGAAATGAATGATTGGCTAATGGATCGACAGCCTGTTATGGGGCTCTGGGCTCAAATGATGGATTATGTAGCGCGGGAATGAAGGTAGTTGGTGCGACTTTAAAATGCTAAGAGTGAGTGTGGCCGATGGTGCCTGCTTCGATGCTGGTTATTGGGTTAAGGTCGAATTCGGGGGGTGGGGCCACGGAGGTCATGTTCCTCCCTCCTGTACTAATGGATTTGAACTGGATGCCGCGCGATTTTGTAGAAATTGTTCCAAATTCGTTAGAGTGAGGAGGAATTGTGTCCCCTTCCCCCCGCCACACTCACACACACGCACACTGGGGAAGTTTTGGCTGTGCGCGGGGCTGGGTCCGACTGGTATTTACTTTACTGGTTTGTTGGCTGGTTAGCTTCAGGGTTGCTGCGTTATGGTGTTGTGTTTTAATTTACGAAGTCGGATTATTTCGGTGTTGAGGGTTTGGCTCTCCCGGACGGTTTGTGTCAACTTCCCAATCGTCGCGTGCGGATGTTTTAATCAAAGAATCGAAGTTGTTTTCGAAATCAATCAGGTTTTTCAGCCGGGCGCTGTCTGCTACGGCACCGCGTCCGTGTCCCTCTGGCTACCCTCCCACCGCTCCTTCCCTCCTCCCTCTCACCGTCTCCCCACAGCGCCGTCCTGAAGGCCCGTGCCGTCCCCCCCCCCCTGGCGAATTGGGGGCCTGTGCCGTCCCCCGCTGCCATCCCGAAGGCGTGTGCCGTCCCCCGCTGGCGTATTGGGGGCATGTGCCGTCCCCCGCTGCCGTCCTGAGGGCCTGTGCCGTCCCCCGCTGCCGTCCTGAGGGCCTGTGCCGTCCCCCGCTGCCGTCCTGAGGGCCTGTGCCGTCCCCCGCTGCCATCCCGAAGGCATGTGCCGTCCCCCGCTGGCGTATTGGGGGCATGTGCCGTCCCCCGCTGCCGTCCTGAGGGCCTGTGCCGTCCCCCGCTGCCATCCCGAAGGCATGTGCCGTCCCCCGCTGGCGTATTGGGGGCCCGTGCCGTCCCTGGCTGACCTCTCGGAGGGTCTGTGCCGTCCTCCGTTAGCGTCGTGGAGGCCTGTGCTGTCCCCCTTCGGCGGCAGGGGGCCCATGCCGTCCCCCCGCTGGCGTGCGGGTCTGGTCACACATGCCAGGATGGCATAGGCTAGTCTGATGATCCCCGAAGACAGAGGGAATGAACGAGGCGGGTGAAGGATGATGCTCATATCGAGCCCTGGAGGTTGATTGACGGTGTCGTGATCACCGTTGCGTTGGCAAAGCCGGCAATGATCCGCCTGTCCTGCCATCTACCGATGAGTGCATTGCATTACAGCTTTGATGGTCAGCCGCTAGGTGTAGTGCTGGTTCTGAGGCGGAGACCGCATTTAAACGGGCGTTTGCAGTACTGTACGGTCAGAGATGACAGATTTGCAGATGGGATTTTGGAGAAGGTTTCATATAGGACAGAACAATTACTTAGCATACCATATTCTTGCAAATGTACCAGGCTGCTGACCTGGCCACCTTTCACGGAGCAGATATTTCAACCATCAGAGGGCCGGTGCTCGCCACATCCCACCAGCACGCTGCAAGTTGTCTCGCATTGAATTGTTTGTTGTGAGCTTGTGAACAAGTGAACAAAAGTTGTGAACGCGGGCTCTATTTCTCTTTGTACAGATTCGTTGAAACTTAGGATCAGGCGTGAACTGACAGATTTTTAAAAGCGAGTTGTCCGTGGAACCACCTGATCGGGTTTCGTCTCCGCGGGAATGGAATTTCCTCCTCTTTTTGTGAGTGGGATTATTCCCTCCGTCTCATTGGTTTCGCAACCACGTCAGGATCTTACGTCCCGCGGTTGAGTGCAACAACGAAGCAGCCCCTGAAGTGCATGGATGTAGTCCGAAGCGGGACACCGGACCTCATTCCATTAACGGACACCATCGGTGTGCCAACGTGTCCGTGGCACTCTCTCTCTCTCTCTCGGACCGCAAATGTCAGCAGATGGCGCGATCACTCGACGCCGCGCGTGAAAGCCGTTCTGCCCGCGCGGCTCGTTTTTGCAGCGTTCTGACCGCCGGCGCCATCAGTCGCACGCCGGTCTTCATCGGCTGTTTGTTTTCGCTCGGGAGTGCGGTGCGCCGGTTTCGTCGCCGTCCGCACGCCCCCCGACCCCGCCCCGGTTCACCTGCTGGCCGTTTTTACCGGTGTCGCAGTAATGGCGCGTGGGAGAGCCGGCAGCGGCGGCAGTGGCGGCGCCAGGACCTGGGCGGTCCCGGCCGCCGCCCGGGCGCGGACCAGCTCTGCTGCGGCGCCGCCGCCTCTGGCGGCGCGCGGTGACCACGCGGCTCGCCGGCGCGGGGGCCGGGTCAGAGCGGAGCCAGGGCGTGCGGCGCGGGGTCACACCGTCGGCCGCTGCTGCCGGCCGCCGGCCGCGTGTCTGCCGCAGCGCCGGACGGGGCGGCGGCCCAAGCCGCACCGGAAGGCCGTATCTGGCAGGCGGACGTGACCGCCGGTCGTCCAGTGACGGCCGCAGTCCAGCGCCGTCTTCCGCCCCGGCACCGACGGCGCGGCTCCGCTCCAGACGAGCTCTGCGCGCACCCGGGCCGCGCTCAGGACGTGCCCAAGCCGGGGTCGAGCCGTGCCTCAGGCGTAGCCCGGCCGTGCTTGAGACGTCTTTGAGCCGTGCTCTCGGTGGTCTGAGGCGTGCGCTCGCTGTGTTCTGAAGTCTTGCCAGAGAATTAGTCAGGCGTTGTCGAAGCCTGTCCAGGGGTTTCTCTGGAGCAAGACCGGGCCGCGCCGGGGCCTTTTCGACGTTTCGAGGCGCGCTCGCGCCGACCGCGCCCTCCCGCCGCGGCGCCATGCCAGGCGGCGCCGGCGCCGTCTTCGTCAGCGGTACCTGGTACGCTACGCTGCGGTGGCGGTCGCGGCGGGTACGCACCGGGCTCGTGGCGCCCACCGCGGCCGGCATCCTCCCGGCCGTGGCGAGCCAGGCGGGTGGCCTCTGGCGAGCCGAGGAGCGCGCTGGGTCGCTGGGCACGCGCGGCCGGCCCGGCCTCCGCGCCAGCCGCTCAGAGATGGACTTCAGTCAGCTGCAGGTGCGTGCCGGCTGTGCTCGCGGCGCCGAGAGTCGTGGCGGCCGCTCTGCGGCGCGCTGTAGGGCGGGCCGAGTCTCGCAGGTAGTGTTGTTGATCGCTGATAGTCGCAGCTGACGCCGACTATCAACTGACTGCCAGAGCTGACCGCGGTGTCGGACAACGAGGTGTTGTGGTGATGCGGGAGGAGGGACGGACAGGCACGTGCGGCGCACTCCCCCAACGGCTGGGTGCGCACGCTCGGTCGGCGCGGCCGAGCATCCGGCGGCGGCCCGTCACGGCGGTGTTGGTGATGTCGCGCGGCGGTGGGTCCCCCGCCAACAGTCCCTCAAAACGGACGCGCACGTACATCACGGCTTACGGATCCGTGCGCGACCGAGGGGCGCGTCCTGTCGCGGTGAGGCCGGTGGTGGTGCCGATGTGCGGTGCCGGGGCTCTTTGGTCCGCGGCTGACGCTGGGCCGCTCCGCTGACGCTGACGCTGGGCCGTCCGCTCCGCTGACGCTGGGCCGCCCCCGGCTGCCGTAGCCGGCTGATCTAGGGTCGTCACGGCTGGGGCTGACCCGCCCGTCGGCGCAGGCCGGCCGCGCCAGCTGCGTGCCGGCCTATCTGTGTGCCGGCGGCCCGGCGGGCCCGGCGCGCGGCTGCGGGCGCCCGCCTGTCCCGCCTCGTGCGTCTGGGCTCGCGCGGGCCGTTTTCCGGTGACCGCTCGCGGCTGACCGCAAGGTCACGTGCCTGCCCGGGGCGCGGGCTGCGGCAGCGCTGCGCCCCGGGCCCAAACTGGCATCTTGATGGAGTCTTGATGTGATAGAGTCGATGTGTTGCGGCCGGACCATGTCCGTGTGGTTGTCCATGTCCGTTGTCATGTTCATGTCCGTTCGGCTGTGATTCCCCGCGTGGCGCCCCGTACCTCTCCCTCCCGCCCTTTCTCCCCCGATCGTCTCCCGGTGCGCTCCCGGGCCGCTCTCAGAGCGCAGAGCCGGCCAGCCGGGGGCAGCTATGGCCAGCCCCGGCCCCGTCTCCGGGGCTCGCTATCTCGCGGGATGTGGCGGCGGTCAGCCTCCGGTGACTCACGGTCGCGGCGGCACAGGATGCCAGGCTGAAGTTGCATGCTGCCTTGTCCTTCCGTTGTTGTGTCCATCCATGCGATCATGTATCTCGTCCTCCTGCGCATGTGCGTGTTGTCGCCTTCCGTTTCGTCGCGCGACAATTTGAGTTCCTACGTGTTTTCCGTGCCAACATTGTGTTTCGATGTATTTAGCGTTGTATTGGCGAAGCGTGCCGTCCCACCCTGCGTGTCGGTTCACTGCGGCCGCCGTCTGTGATGAAGCGGAATCAGTCAGCTCACGCGTGCCTCTGGTTTCAGCAACTCAAAGATGAGATCAGCGACGTGGCCATGGACATGGAGGCGGTGGAGACCGGGGAGGACGGGTGAGTGCTCCGCTGCCCCGCACCCTCGTGCCCCCTCCCCCCCCCCCCCCCAGGCTGCAGGCTGCTGCTGAGTGACAGGTCTGATACGAATTTCATTTATTGCTAATGTGACTACATTTCCTAGATATATTATGATTGAAGACCTGGCCTGAAACTGGTTTTGTCATTGATGCGGCAAAAAATAGATTTTAATCGTCGTAATGCTGCGTTTTCCAGAAACTGAGCCTCACAAAGCCTATCGGTTTCCGATTTCCGCCGACGAGTCGATAGCGGCTCTCGGTCAGTGTTCGAACTGGCCTCAGGTCGGTGGCAGGTCCGTCCTGGTCCTGGCTGCAGCACGTAGTGTTTGAACCGTGCTGTCAGTGCGGGCCCCCACGCGAGCTATCTCCCGGTGACCGGCGGGTAATGGCGCTCCTACGCGCAGCCAGCTGGCTTTAAAACCGATGCGAGTAGCTGATCCCGATTGGGCAGGAGTCGTGCGAATGGCTGATTCCGATTGGGCAGCGGCCGCTCGCTGGCCGCGCGTGTTGACGCGATGCTGAGCGTCAGTGATGGACAGCGTCGAGCTGTAGGGCCATTAGCTGACCATGACTGCATAAATGGATGAACATAACTCAGTGACTGCTATGCACGCCTGCCGGGCCCGCGTCACAGCCGGCGCCCGTGCGGTGGGGTGTGATGGGGGACGGAGGTGAATGTCGACGGGACGTGATATGGCGGGTTAGTGACAATCTGAGTTTGAAATTGTTGAGGTTTCGGCCTCCTTTGCGCGCGACGCCCAAAGGGGTTGCGTATGGAGCGTCAGTGCTCCGTAGTCTTTAAATCTAAATCCGTCGTGCTTTATTTACACGGCTGCCTAGCTACCTGCGATGCGTTTTCCACCAATCCATCCGTCAGCCGGTCCCTCAGTCAGCCGTGAGTCGGCCCCTCAGCCGGCCGGCCGTCAGTGAGCGGGCCGGCCACGGACTGGCCGGCCGTTGCAGGTGGCCGTTGGGGTGGGTCCTTATCGTGCCGGCTGTTGCGGCAGCTCGCAGCGTGCCCCGCGCCGCCCGGCCGCCGCTGCACAGCGTCGCTCCCTGTCTTCGGCCCAGCGGCGCGGCGCCCGGTCGCCGTCACAGCTGCGCCTAGCCCTGCGACGTGACGGTGCCCTGAGTGGCGTGACGGTGTTCTGAGTGACGTGACGGCGCGCTGAGTGATGCGATATCGCTGTATATCGAGTGATATAGATATCGAGTGACGCGATGGCTCCCTGAGTGACGTGATATCGCTCTGAGTGGCGAAGCACGTTCCAAGTATCGCGACGGCGCTGGCGGCGTCTCGCCGCACGCACCGAGCAGCGCCGCGTGCCGGAGGAGGGGTGACCCAGCCCTGACCCGGGCCGGGGCCGCCTCCATGCCGGCCGCCGGCCGCAGCAGGTGCAGCCCAGGGCAGGCCGGCGGCCACCGACCCGGCCAGTGTCGGCGGCGGTGGGTCTGCCAGACCTGGTCTGAACGGGTTCTGTCGCCCCCGGCACCAGCCCACGCGTCTCCTTTCTGTTGTCTGCCGCCCCCCGATAGGGAAGCGCCGTGTTGGTCCTGGTATTGTGCGTGCGCTGTGGTGTGTTTGATGTGTACCGTGGCAAGCGGAGACGCCAGCCGTATCGGTGTGACTGTCTCACTGCAGTTTCGTCCCTGCTGGGCACTCTGCCTGCGAGTTCGTGGCGTGATGTAGCTTACGTCATGGATGGACCGGTTTACCCAGCGTTTGCGGGCTCTGTATTCGACGGTTCATGCCTTTGGCGTCGCGTTTGCCGTGGGCCGTAGTTGGCCACTTCATCGCGTTTATCGTGCTCCCTAGCGTTCTTTCGAGCCTCAGTTCTAACCACCCCGCTCCCGGTGTGTTGCAGCAAAAACGACCAGAAGAAGAAACAGCTGTCAATCGGTCGCAAAAAGTTCAACATGGACCCGAAGAAGGGCATCGAGTACCTCAAGGAGCATGAGCTGCTGCAGGACACGGCTGAAGGTGAGGTGACCTAGGGGCCAGGGAGGGTGACCACTCTCCTCTGGCGGCCGGCCGTCGTCAGTGGGAGGCGGGGCCTCCCACTGAACGGACTTGACCTGACCTGATGGGGTCCGTCACACCAGCCTGGGGGTTCGAGCTGCTGCAGGGTAGGACTTTCCCGGATTCTGCCGCCGCTGGAAAAGAGAGAGAGAGAGAGGGCGAGTGCGCGCTGTGGTGGTTGGGAGTTCAGCCAGCGGCACCATCAGGGTGGGAGCTGAGCTGGAACCCGTTTTGATAGGCTGGCAGAATCGGTGATTCCTGGTGGTTTCTGTTTCTGGCTAGTTTGCAACTATCGTCTCGGGATGCGCTATATAAGGGACTTATATAAGCCCTGGGTCAGGCGAGGGTATCTCCGAAACGTCGCAACGTGTGTCGTTCCCGACTGAAGTCCGGACTGGCGCGGATGACCTGTTGGCTGCTATTCATCTCGACGCGTGTGGCGTTTCGGACCGGAATTCCGAGCCGCGTGCGGATCGGTCTGGCGATGGGACGTCCCCGAGTTCCATGGGAGGGGTCGGGCCAGTTGGTTGCCAGTATTATATTATAAGGTTGCCAGTAACCTTAGCAGTCTCATGCGCCGGCGAGTGACCCAGAACTCATCCGTAATGGCTTGTATGTCTTCCGGTAGCTAGCTCTGATGCTGGGGGTATTGGCAAAGTTTCTGTTGGTGTTGGGTCACTCTCCGCGTCCTGACGGCGTTGAGAGGTTCTTGATTGACCTCGCGCTTCTGAAAGGAGCCGGCGATGGCTTAGGCGCTCGCGCTTTCACTCCTGTTGCTCGCCCCCCCCCCCCCCCCCTCCCGCCCCCCTTTCGCCCACCCAGAACCTGACACTGTGTCGGCCAGATTGGTTTTCCATTGAAGAGCTCTCCGCTGAAGACGCTCGGACAGGCGGTGCCGCCTGCACGGCTCGGTATTGGCCGGGCTAATGACGTCCGGCACGGCGCTCGGCGGGCGTGTGGGCAGGCGGGCAGGCCGCGCCGAGAGCCGCCCGCGGCGCGTGGCGTCGCGGCGGCGAACGTGACGGAAGACCACTCTCGGGCGCCTTGGTTCAACACGGCGCCGGCTGCAGTGCTGCACTGCCGTCTTCGGCCGCAAACACACGGCTGTGGAGTGGAGCACGGGAGTGTCGCTCGGCGTGCCGGCCCGGGCTGCGGGCCGAGTCGGTCGGCCACGGACGACCTCAGCTTCGACCGCCGCGCGGTGCGGCGTCGCCCACCGCGCGGTGAGGCCTCGCCCGCCGCGTGGTGAAGCCTCGTCCAATGGGCGGCGAAGCCTGGTCCGCCGCGCGGTGGAGCCTTCTTTACTGCGCGGTGGACGGTGTTCAACCGCGCGACGGTGGGGCCCGCTCCACCGTGCGGAGACCGGACGGCGGCCGCTCACCGGACACCGGCCCAGCCGAGCCTGGCGGTGGCCGCTGGCGGCTGGCTGGAAGGCGTCTCCAAAACGGGAGGCGGCGCCCGCCACAGCCGGTAATGAATCAGTCGGTGCCGCGGTGCGGTCGGCCGGGTCCTCGGCCCGCCCGTGAAGCTGTCGCCGCTGTCTGCTCCGTGCCCGTGGAAGGGCGCGGCGCCGGCCGGTGTCACCGCTGTCTGCTCCGTGCCCGTGGAAGGGTGCGGCGCCGGCCGGTGGCGCGGGCGGTGGCTCGGTGCGGTCAGCTCGCTGTGGGGTCGGCCGGATGTGGAGGACGACGGCGCGTGCTGGACCGGCGCGGGAGGTCGCTGTCGGCGGCACTGTGACGAAGGCCGCCCGGCCCGTGCCGGTGCCGGCGATGGGGCTGGCCAGCGGTGCGGGTGTGCTGCGGAGCGGCAGCGGCCGAGCGGTCAGGTCTGCAGGTCGGAAGGTCCGGGGCCGATTCTTGTCACAGGCCAGCCGCCCTGGTCTCGGTTAACACCACGAGATAGCGTTACCGCTGATGTTAATATTGATGTGTTGATAGTATACATAACAATTACACAACAGCATAGCAATTCCCATTATCATTGTGCATATTGCACAGCTTAGCTCCAGCCAGGTATTCGCATGAAGTCACTTACCGCTAGTTTAGGTCTCGCTTGGGGTCGGTGCCTAAACGCATGTTGTGTGCTCGTGGCAGCGGGGACAGCAGGAGCAAGCGAGGTGTCCGGGTTGGACGAGTGGACCACTGAGGCACGGGTGGCGGCGCGGCGTCCGGCGGCGGCTGGCGGCGGCTGGCGGATGTGGGCGTCGGGTGCTGCGTCGGTGTCGTCCGGCGGGCGCGCCGCGAATGGAGAGCCGTTCATCATCGTGTTTGTTTTTCTCGCGGGTGACGCTGCCTGCTGCCTCGTCCTCGCTTAGGCTCGTTCACCCGATGGACGCCCCTCTGACGGAGATTGCCCACTCGTCTGTCGTCACTCCGCTGACGTCACGGACGCTTCGGTGCCGGACGTTAGAGGTCTCCCGCTTCCATCCCCAGACGGCCGTTTCACTGAGACCATGCGGCGCCATGTCCGCATGGTCCGCGGCGCCATGTCCGGCCATGGGACCATGTCTCGGTCCCGTGGCCGGCCCCGTATCAGTACTCGTCTAGCGTCATTCGCAGAGCACTGCTGATGTCCCCCGGGTTGTGACTTTGCCTCAGGTTAAGACGGATGTAGAGACTGGTGGTTCCCAAATATCTACGCTGCGTTACTTGCGCAATGTTAATGTTTGGCAACCCCCGGCGTTCTGACGAGGTTTGACAAACATATGTTATACTAGCACGTGATACCCACAGACCCACAGACGTGATCCGTGAATACGTCATATGTGCGTGGCATAGCGATATCTGATGTTGTTCCATTACCCGTGTGCGTTAAACAAACATGCGTATCTCTACATATCGTGCTGTCGCAGTTGGACGCGCAACAACTAAGATGTCCATGCCGCATGGATGTGTCGTGGAAGGCAATCTTGGGCGAACGCCTCTCGGCGGGCGGTGCGCTGACGCCCGCGCCCTCCCTCCGCCGCCAGACATCGCCGAGTTCCTGCACAAGGGCGAGGGCCTGAACAAGCGCGCGATCGGCGACTACCTGGGCGAGCGGCCCGACTTCAACCAGGCTGTGCTGGCGGCGTTCGTCAACCTGCACGACTTCTCGGACCTGATCCTGGTGCAGGCGCTGCGCCAGTTCCTCTGGAGCTTCCGGCTGCCCGGCGAGAGCCAGAAGATCGACCGCATGATGGAGTGCTTCGCGCAGCGCTACTGCCAGCTCAACCCGGACATCTTCACACACGCCGGTGAGGCGAGACGCTGGCTGTAGTCGGAGAGCTCGCGAAGGTGCGCGCACGGGGGATCGCGTGGTGACAGAGGCGGATCCGTCCGCTGCGTGTCGTGAGGATCAGCTCAAACATGCACGCGAGTGTCTCGCGAACTGGAGTCATTGTGCGGCCCCCCCCCCCCCCCCGGCCCGCTGTGACGCCCCGACATGGCACCGCGCTTTCACGTCGGCTAGCCAGCCGTCTGCGCACGCGGATGCTGTGGTCGGTGGTGATCGCGGCGGCTGCACTCATCCTGCGGGCTTCCCAGCTCGGACGTGGCAGGTTGTCACCGGGGCTGGCACCGATATAGCCGCCCGTGGCGCTGGTCTTCGCACTGTGTGCCGCCGCTGCGTTCGTCCTTCGCGTGGGTGCTCCGTCCCTTTGGTACCAGCCGCCCTTGCCGCTGACGTGGTCGCTGCTGCCCATGCTGTCGCGTCGTCCGCCGCCGGTCCGGACGGAATGGGCCGCCCCCGCTGCCCGGACTCGGCGTCCTCTCCCGGCACGGCCGGTGCTGCCCTCTGCCGTCACGTCCGGTGCACGGGTGGGCCGAGCGTGGCCGCGCGGCTTGCGGGCCTATCGCAGCGCTGGAGAGCCGGGGCTCGCCGGCCGCACGCCGTCGGCGTCCTCGGCGTGCCCCGCGGCTGAGACTCGTGTGTCGTTGGCTGTTGACTGGTGGCCGCGGTCAGCGGGTCGGTGTGTGTGTGTGTGTGTGTGTGTGTGTGCCGTTCCTGGCCGGCGACGCTGCCCCGGGCGATCTGGTGACCGCTCCCCTCCCCGCGCAGACACGTGCTACACCCTGAGTTTCGCCATCATCATGCTCAACACGTCGCTGCACAACCCCAGCGTCAAGGACAAGCCGTCCGTCGACCAGTTCATCAGCATGGTGCGCGGCATCGACAAGGGAGGTGAGTGACGTCACGCTGCCTTTTGACGTCACGTTCGGCGGCGCCCCGCTGTTGCCGCCGGGCGTCACTGAACTATTGGTGAACCTTGTGAATGCCGCCGACGCTGGGAGTTGAAGGCCGGCGGCGAGTTCTCGGAGGCTCTCGCCGGCTCCCAATCAGCCGGTGCTGGGCGGCAACAGCCAGCTATTCCGGGAGCAGCGGTCTCGGCGGTGGAGCGCAGCGCGGGTTTTGCCATATGGTTGCTCGGGTGACTCGCTGCACATTACTGCACGAGGACCGAGCGGTAATTGGCTGTGCAGTCTGGCGTGTGGGGCCCCTTGGTAATTAGCCTGCACCGCGGGGGCTCCAATGTGGCGGAGGACCCTGCGGAACGGGTGTTCTGCCGGTGTTATCCCGTTATCCCGTTATCCAGTGTACTGCCGGTGATTGCACTGCCGGTGTTACCCCGTTATCCCGTTATCCGCGTCTCGATGCCCGGACAGTCTGCGTTGAGGCGTGCTAATTGGGGGCGCCGGTAGTGTGGTGGTTAAGCTGCTCGTCTGGAAAAGCACAGGTGCGGGGTTCGGTCCGCCACGGTGCCCGGCCTTCCTGCCAGGGCGGGAGGCAGGCGACACCATGTGGCCTCACGGGCCGAGTGTGTCGTCAAGCCTCAATGACAGTGACGACGTCGACGACGTCGGCGTGCTGACCGGCCCGTTGTGGCGTCACCAGCTCGTGCCGTTGTTGACGCGCGTGTCCGCTCGCGCAGGCAACCTGCCACGGGAGCTGCTGGTCAGCCTGTACGACAGCATCAAGTCGGAGCCGTTCATGATCCCCGAGGACGACGGCAACGACCTGATGCACACCTTCTTCAACCCCGACAAGGAGGGCTGGCTCTGGAAACAGGGTCAGTGGACTCGCCGGACGGCCGCAGTGGTCGCTGCACCGGGAGATGACCAGATCAGTCGTGCGTTCACTGATGCGCTTCTCTGGCTACCGATTTTATTGTTTTGATGCGGTTCATGTATCATGTATTCTGTGCTGTTTCTTGAGCGCGTTTCCGCGATGTCCGGCGATGTCTGAGTCGCCAAGAGTGGGTGATGCCGGCTGTCACTGACCGTGTTCGCTTGCTCCGCGCGCAGGCGGTCGCTACAAGTCGTGGAAGCGGCGGTGGTTCATCTTGAACGAGAACTGTCTCTACTACTTCGAGTACACCACGGACAAGGAGCCCCGCGGTATCATCCCGCTGGAGAACATACAGGTACGGCGAGGGCGCCGATGGCGGAACGGGACGCTGGGCACCCGGGGCAGGGGGGGAAGGGGGGAGACACTGGGCCGAACGTCGAGCGGGCCCGTGGAGGGGGGGGGGGGGGGGGTGCGTCCCAGCCAAAGTCGGCTTAGTTCTGCGGTATTTCCGATGCTGATGCGCTTGCGGTGAGTGCGCATTTTTTTGGTCTCGTTTTTAGGTGATGGACGGCGCTTGGAAACTTGTGTCTGTGCCTGGGACGTGGTCGCCGAGTCATTTCCGTCATAGGCGTGCCACCGTTCGGGCACAGCTCGCGGCGGTTCACTGCGTCGCAGTCGCGATCGGGGGCTCGGTGATCTCGTGTGGTCTGCTGAGGTTGGCGTGGTGGCCTGTCCGGACGGAATCCTCTGACCCGCCCCCGCCTGGTGCCGGTGCTCGCTCCGACCTCGGCCCTCCGCCGCGGCTGGACGCCGTGCCCAGCGAGGAGAACGTGCTGGCCCCGCCGCTGCCGCACCGCGCGTCAGGTCCCCTCTGCTGGGTGTGTGCTGTGGCCGGCGTGCGAGCGTCCCTGGCGCGCTGCAAAGTCACTGCGTGCGCCGTGCTGACTCGGTGCCCGTGCGCCGCTCAGGTGCGTGTGGTGGAGGACCGCAGCAAGAGCAGCTGCTTCGAGCTGTACGCCTCGGGCACCGACTACATCAAGGCCTGCAAGACTGACAACGAGGGCAAGGTGGTGGAGGGCAAGCACACCGCCTACCGCATGTCCGCCGCCACCCCCGAGGAGATGCACGAGTGGATCAAGGCCATACAGTGAGTGGCGGGCGGCGGCTGGCCGGGCTGGCGGGCGCCTCCGAGGCAGAGGTCCGCGGATCGATTCCCACGGCGGGCAGGCGATGTTGGGACGTTCTCTCGGCCTCATCGGCAGTTTTTGCCAGGTGTGGCGATGCCGATGGTCATGCCGCTCACGCGTGGATAAATGGTTTGGTGAAGGGGCATGTCACAGGTAGGCACCGGTGTGGTGGCGTCGTGAGGTGAGCTCAGCTGTCATGTCGCGCGCTGTCGTCACGCGCGCGAATGTGCCGTGGGCAGGCGCTGTCTGTGTTTGCCGGCGCCTGTTGCCGGGCTGTGATTGCTCGCTGGCTGTGATCGTCAGTCAGTAGGCAGTCATTGCCGCGGCGCATTTTTTTCTGAACATTGCTGCGCTCGGTACGTCATGTTGTGTGCCGTTCAGCACTGCCTTGTTCACAGGCTTAGCACTCACTGATTCACATATTTACCCGGCGAGTTTGCTGCGCTGCGGGGTGTTGTCTAGTGTGTTTGTGTTGTGTGGTGTAGCCTTAAGTGTACCGGGTGCGATCATCTCTCTACAGTGTGTGGTTTAGGTAAAGTGTGCCGTGTGCGACTTCTCTGCATAGAATGTGGTTTAGTCTGTGCACTAGTGCACCGGGTCTGACCAGTGCACCGGGTATGACTCTTCTCTCTGTAGCGTGTGGTGTAGTCAAAATGCACCCGGTTTGATTCTTCTCAGCCTCCGTGTATGACACCGGCGTCTCCCCGTGTTGCAGGCAGAGCATCAGTCTCAACCCGTTCTACGATATGCTGGCGGCGCGGAAGCGCAAGGCCCAGAAGGCGCCGCCGCGGTAACCCGTCCGCGACAGTGGCGCCGCGCTCGGCGACGGCGCGAACTAGCGGGCGATCGGAACCGCCGGTGGCGCCGCGCGCGCCGGCGACGCGAACTATGACGCGCGGTGTTGGCAGGTGGTGCGACCCTGCGGCGCGGGGCGGGGTGATGAGCGGGTGTGCGCCGTCACGATAGAGGGCGCTGCGGTCTCGGCATGGCGCGCCGTGGCGCTGTTGTGTTGCCATTGGACGGTGCTGCCGGCCGCGTGTGCCCGGGCGACACGTGCACGGCACGTGAGGCCGCGTTCGGAGCGAGGGCGCTCCGGCCGCGTTTTACGGCCGACTTCATTCCGACGCGACGGACGGGGTGACACAGTACAAACGGGGCGGGGCGGCGCACGCTGGACGGAGGTGCGCCGGTCAGCATAGCCCGTGGAACGATTGATTGTCCGGCGTGTGGTTTTGCGACTGTGTGTGCGTATGTGTGTGGATGTTATAAAGTGCGATTGTGTGCGTTTGGATGTTTTGTGTGTGAGTGTGCGTGTGGGTGTGTCCATACACAATAAACATGCCAGCAGAGCAGATTGTGTTTGGCCGAGATCTGAGATGCCGTTGAAGGCGGCGGAAAACGTGTCCGCGCTGCACGGCCATGCCTTAGGTCTGTTGTGGCGGTCGTGTTGGTTCTGAATAATTGATGCTTGGTGCTTTTAGGCGCACCGATGGACGAGACTTTATTTAGCGCCTACCGTTGAGGCTCTGGTGCGGTTGGGTCTTTCCACAACGCAAGTTTCTCTGGTATTAGATTTGGGGTTTAGGCGGAACCCAGAACGTGGCCGACTTGCGACTTGCACAACTGGCTCGAATCCGTTTTACTGCGATGAATTCGGCTGCGCGAGAACCGGCGCAAGGTACGGGAGGCAGCTGTGGTGCGACCTACTCTGGGACGGCACGGGTCCTGCGCGGGCTCGTGAACGTCCTGCGAAAGGGAAAACGCCAGGCGCGCTTACACTCCAAATGGTTACCGTGAAGTGCGTGATTTAGGGTCGCACAGCCGGGGATGACTACCAAGAAGGCTATCATGCTTTTCGACTGATTCTGCTTGCATAGACGATACGGCTGAGCGTTAGCAAGCTCCCGCAACGAATAAATCATGATAATCGCCATGGCGAATTTCAGCGGACGCGTAGTTCCACACAGTCTTCATCAAGTCTTAGACACAGATACTTATTCCCGCAACGAATCGCTGATGTTGGCGGTGCAGAGCTGTTGTTGAAGCGTCGAGGCACGCTGTCCGCCGCAAGGGGTGGTTTCAGTTGGAACCACGTTCAGTTTTGTTCATTCATTCGCATTCATCCAGTTCACATTCAGGTTTCATTCATTCACATTCAACCACAGGGCTCCAGTCGACCACATTCCGTGTTTAGCGGAAGCCGGAATGTGGTCGAATGGTGGCTTAAGATACGCAGAACTGACTCGGATCTGTTTTACTGCAACGAATTCTGCTGCGCGAGAACCGGCACAGGGTACGTGAGGCAGCTGCGGTGCGGCCTACCCTGGGACTGCAAGGGTCCTGCGCGGGCTCGTAGACATGCTGAAGCGAAAGACGCCAGGTGCGCTTACCACCGACTGTTATTTATACAGCCTTGCCGCTGACCGTCGCCGATATCGCTTGACTGATGGGAATCCGAATTTTCGAATTGCTTCTTCATGCCACGTGCAATACACTCCAAATGGTTCCCATGAAGTTGTGCTTGAATTAGGGCCGCACAGTCGGCAATGATCAGAAGGCTATCATGCCCTTCGACTAACATGCCCGTTTGTATAGACAATACGGCTCAGCTCCCCGCAACGAATAGATTATGATAATCGTCACGGCAGATTTCAGCGGACGTTTAGTCCCACACAGTCTTGATCAAGTCTTAGACACAGATGCTTATTCCCGCAACGAATCGCTGATGTTGGCGATGCAGAGCGGTTGATGAAGCGTCGATGCACGCTGTCCGCCGCTAGAGGTGCGGCTGGGTAGAGAGGGTGACCTCTTCACTTCAGATATTTGCTTGATGCCAACGAATCGAATCCAGTTCCGCACCCAGTTCCGTTTTGAACAGAATCGTATTAAAATTCGGCACCATGGGTCAATCCGGCCAATCTGATGCAGAATCGATTCGCATAGTTCGTGTCATGCTCAGAGTTGCTTCGCTTCCGCTTTTGAATGCCCGCTTCAAAAAAAACTTTTAGCGATGACCTATCACGCTTAAATGGTTGAATTGCGCAAGCTCAGTTAGAATAACATGGCTGGCGTCAAATCATTCGATGTTAAATGGAAGCTACCCAGCATCTGCCCATCGTAGATAACATTGTAGATGCACATCGTAGATACACGTTGTAGATACACATTGTAGATACACATGGTAGATACACATTGTAGATACACATCATAGATACACGTCGTAGATACATATCGTAGGTATCGTTCACGGTGAGACGTTCGTGCTGTTATCACAACACGTTGCTGTATGCAAACAGGTCAGCTTGAAAATAGTACAAAATTATGGATCGAAAGAGCTCCTAGGATCTCCTCGTATGAGAGAAAAAAAATTACTCCCAGTGATTTTCAGTGGATATGTGGACCCAGGGGTATCTGGCAGCGGTTTATTTTCGCTAACATGAAGTGATTGTACATTTCTAAGATGTAGAGAATAGGTGTAACAAGAAGAAATTGCCAATGTTGAAATTGCCAATGAAGAAAATGTGAATGTCACAAATGAATGATCCCGGATGGGATAAGCGTTTGGGCTGGAGACAGTCAGTCATCTGGAATAACTTCCGTAATAGTGTCACTCACTTTAACACTGACAGTCTTTCCGCATCAAGCCCTCTATGTCTTTATAATATAGAATCACTCCATATTCACCAAAAGCAAGCAAGTGGTTTCTTTATTTCTGAATATTGTGGGCCTGCATAAACCTTGTAAATCATTGCGTAGACTTCTATGTTGTTTTTCAAACGAAGTCTAGAAGATCTTTCGTCGCGTGATTTTCCACCTTTTTCGCGCTGACCTACTTGCATATAGGTAGGTGTACAGCTTGGCTGTACTGGTATATACGGCCTCGCTTGTATTTGATTGTGCGAACGTATTACCATAAGCCATATCAGCGATGTGTCACAACAATGTCTCTCGGATGTGGTCTTGTTTCCTGACACCTGTGTGATGTATCATGATGTATATCAGGTCCTGATAACGATACGCAGGAGCATCGGAAAGCTGATCCAATGCTATACACATAAATATCATTAACTTTTGCCTTAGCCATTACAATTTTAAAACTACTATATATATATATATATATATATATATATATATATATATATATATATTTATTTATTTATTTATATATTTATTTATACATATATTCATTGAATCAAGAGTGTGATATCTTTGGTATCGTCAGGACAAAACAAGACTAGCAAATGAACGTCATTCTCTTCAAAGGGGATGTTCTATGTTTGAAGATATTGACGCAAGCATCAGACATGATGAAATAAGCTCACTTTTAACTATTGGCATTCTTTTAAGTGGAAAAGACTGCCCTAAAAAACACGGTTTCTGTACTTAGTAAACATTCTCCTCAATATGTTATCGTTTCATCCCGTCACTGTAACATTCGCAACATTGAGAGCAAACTCACGGACGTTATCTTTGGAAATCGTGCTCGCTACATTCACAAATGAGTGGCTCGACAATGACATTTGCGCTGGCCTTGTTCGCTGCATGACGAATGGAATGGCAGAATAACGATGTTATGGAGTCATGGATGCTTTGGTGACCTTGAAATAACAGTCTGCACGAAAAAGTCTGCATATATCTGCGGACATGTAGCTCAGAGACTAGAGGGGTTTGCGTCTTAGGAAGTTCAGGACTATAAACTGCACCAAATGATCCTGAAAATGGCTAGTTCATTTCAAAACCTCATACAAATGCGGAAGATTCCCTTTCACGAGTACCACAGTTCCCGCGAATCTAAGTCATGAACGGCTCGGAACGCAAACGGCTTTTTGCATGCCTCAGATTGCACCGGGAATGAGCTCAGCGGGCGTTCCTACCGGGTAGGCTTTGAGGAAACCAACCGGTTCTTCTCATCATTGTTTGCTCGTCGTCATTTTAGGTAACGGGGAAACCTGATTTTTGTTTTGGTGTTTCAGGTAGTGTTAGCATTACCCGGCACGGCTCTAACGTTCAGGGTTGTGCTGTGTCGATACCCGAATCGTCCATACACGGCCTTGATACCCGATATAATTGGGTAACGGCTAGTCTCTAACACCGCTTTAACAGTTTGCTGAATGCTAATGGCATTTGAGCGTGCAGTACAGTAGCATTTGCATGGTATTTGCACCAAACGCAAAAAAAAACATCGCTGTACATTTATTAATTTACGTAATAAGGCGGAACTTATACCTTAAGCCCTGTCATGCAGCCAAATATACTGCCGTGTCCAAGCCAGTGAAGTCATGCGGTGTGGCAGCAAAGGGTTTTTCTTAAAGTCAAGGGCGTATTATTTCGCAAGTAGCCACTGCGCTGCTATGCGCTGCAGCCATGGGTTCTCTTCAGTTGTCTGTCGACGGCACATATGTGCTCATATGACCCGTTGGCAGTGCATTATTGCATGCTGCCCACCGGCGAGGAGCGTGAGCGTGAGGGGGGCATACGGCAGCGTTTGGCAATACTTATAATCACGTGCGGAGGCTGTATCCCTGTGCATTTAATAGCACTGTTGTAGGGTTACTACTTAGGGCCGTGACATGATTCTCACTGGAAGGCATCCGTTTTATTTGGTAAATACCGCGACAACGCATGTCTCAATGCCAACAGGATGGACGGAGAGTGGTTTTTTAAAAGTTACGGCAGTGAATTACATATGCCCATTGTCGCACACGGCGGGTGCAACCGTATGGATACCATAACACTGCGGGAGGGCTTTCGGCTAGCAACATAACTTTGCTTTACGCCGAAGTCAACCATTTCATTCATGTGGTTCCTTACTGACGCATCACTGAATGCTGCCGAGCGGCTGAGAGCGTGGTGACGAACTTTCGACGCCATTGGAAAAACAATCGCAATCATGCGCGGAGATCGCAACCTCGCGCATTTGTTAGCACTGGCGTACGGCTATCAGCTGACACCGCGACACGATTGTCGGGTCACGTCATCCATCTTTTAAGGCTGGCCCACTGACAGCACATCACTCAATAACGGTGGGACGGCCGGAGCGTGGATGTGCAAAGTTACGGCAGTCTTTTAGGAATGCCTATCATCGTGTGCGGCGGGTGCAGCCGTGTGCATATTGTAGCACTGCGGAACGGGTAGTGGCTGGCAACGTAGGTTTACCGCCGTCGTCGTCCGAACACGCCCGCCAGAAATTACGTTACTGAATGCTACATGCCGGCCGCTAGCGTGGTAGTGAGCACGAGACAAACTTTTAAAAATGCTTATCGAAAGCGGCGTTATAGGGCCATCAGCTGTCCCCGTCGGAGGAATGTTGGCCGACGGCATGCGTTTGATTGTGTTGACCACTCACAGCGCA